TACGGTAGGGGTACCCTGCTATGCCGGGTACAATAAATGTTTTGCAGAAAAAATATTGCATCAGAATCAGTGTAACAAAAATATATTAAAAATGTTGTTATTAAAATCAGAAAAATTCAAAAAGAGAATATAGTAACATGTATTGAGTATAAGGTTGACGTTTGTTAATGAGGGATTCCCTTTAGCCCTGTTCAAAAATTATATTAGGAGGGTATTTAATGTTTTTTACCTTTTTAAACATGTTATAGAATTTTTTTGCTAAAAAAAGGACATTATGTGCTTATTTATTAGAAGTTGCCTAAACAAATATTGATAGCGCTGGTTCAAGAAGGGCCCATATCTCCCTTAAATTCACCCCTGGTATACACAAAAATTATTAATATTCTAATTATAATAATTGTGTTATATATTATTGTTATTATTAACATTATAGAATAATGTAAAAATATTCAGCAGATTATTAGACGTGGGACTATGTAAAAAATTTTATTTTGATAATAATATTGTTAACTGTGATATAACGTTGGACAGCATAGTTGTCATAGATGAATCCCCAATTCAAACGATAAACTCATAGTGTAATATTATATTACTACATATAATATTAACATATAATCATATATGTTATCATTTGTACATGTATGTCACATATCATGATTATACAAGATCACCAAAACAGGGTTCTCTTATTTAAAATACAAAATAACCCTTTAACTATACGATAAAATCTCCCTCTTGTAGAAATTATTAAGTAACGCTTACATGCAGGGACCCCATTTTAATTAACCAATTAGAATACAAAGCCTCAGCTTCCAGGATCACGGTAGAGATCGCTGGGCTACCCCTTTCACACTATAAAAATCCATTTTTCCCATCTAAACGAGTTCTGTTGACGATTTTAAAATACACGACACTCTACTCAAGATTTCACTCTCCGGGACTTAATCGATTTTTAATTAATTTGGACTTAGAATATTTTTCTTTAAAACTAAATGACACTTAGAAATTTTAAAGTGAATTTTGTTTTGGTGAATCTTTTAATTTAATTTAATTTGTTCAATCATTAATAATTTTTTTATTTTTCTTGTTGTGGAAATAAATATCAAATAATATTTTGAACATTACATCTTTTTAAAATTATTTTATTTTAATAATAAACCCAACCTAAATTTAGATTTTTATTTAATGATAAAAATTTATTGTGAGCTTTTCTTATTGGGTAGCTAGTCTCATTGCTAATGTCTTTGTTTTAATAAACATCGCGCCGGCAGACAACGCAGAGAAACTTACGAATATATTTGCAGTGTTTAATTTTTGTCTTGGTAATTATTGTGCCGCATCCTTTCAAGATGCTTTATTTTAGCACCGGGACACATTGGGCCACCACAATTCTGCCTTGATAAATTTTTTACATAGATATAGATATTTGTGAATCTTGTTTTGGCCAGGCCAGAGCAAAATTTAAGAAATATTGGTATCGATCTCTCGATAAAAAATATACTCTCTAAAAAAAAATACTTATTCAATAGACGTAAAAAAATCAATAAGTAAAAAAAATCAAATTGTTTTTATAATAAAATACAGAGTGTTTAAAATCTTTTACAAGTAAGATCAGTCTAGACTTTGTGTAATTAAATCATATTATTTAAAGTCTTGAATCGTTTTTTGTAATTAATTATTTAGACTATATGTCATATAGTGTAAATCGTATACGTAGTGCGTTTAATACGGAAATCAACACTAGATTACTTGAAATATTATTGTATTACACAGGACGTAAGGTAAGTACAATTTAACCTATGCTTTCGAACTTCCAACAATCTATTGCGTGATAAACCATTAATAATTAATGAGAGAAACAATTAATGAGAAAATTAATTTAAATAAAATTGAAGACATTAAAATTACAAAAACTTATAATAAATAATGATTATAATAATTTACTAAGTAGTAGACATCAAAATTTCTTTTTATATTTAACCTATCCCATCTCCACTTTAATAATTTAATTCTCTATTTTTTTTCATTCAGTTTTTCTTTTTCTTTCTTTTTATTTTTGGTTTATTAAGATAGACAAATACAAAAAAAAGATTATTAATAATGTACTGTTCTGATAATGAAAGTACAAACTTATATAATTATAACCGTCTTGAAATTTATACATAACATATAATATTTCTCGATAAAATATAAAGCTATGTGCAAATGCAAAAAAGTATCCTAATAAAAATATATATTACACCATATAATTAAGGTTCATAATAAACGTATGAGCAGAAATGAATCAATGCGTATATTAAAACCATGCGCGTGGACTTGATATAAAAAAAGCGAGCTAACGGCAAAAATTTTCCGACCTTCGGCAATAATTTCTTGGAGTCTGGTGAACGAGTACTTTCGTTGAAAAAAAAATTTTGAAAATCAGAGCACGTTAAGTAATTTTCCCAGAAAAGCGGTTTTTTCCTTGTTCTATTATATAATAGGACGCGTACATGTGTTATTGGCATACAGAAAAATCGTTATTTTTCGTTAAAATTTGATGAATTTCAAACGCTTGTAGCGGCCAGAGTTTTGGTGGAATCTCGGATTTTTGACGCTTCCTTGGCACGTACAGAACGCCGTGGTATGATTGCGAATCGTAAAAAAAATCGTTTTCATGTCGTAAAGTGTCGCAAGAATTTCAGGCGGTGCGCCCTGGCATCTTAAGCGCGTGAAAAAAAAGTTGAAAAAAGTAACTTTAAAAATTGAATTAGCTTAAAATGCCAATATTATCAAGCGACGAGAGCGACAAATAGTTGCCGAATCTGTACACTTGTGTCTTTCACGCTTAGTGTACGAGGTTCGAATTGGCCTGTAGCGATTAATTTTTTGCATTTTTGCTTTTATTCTTTTTGAGATAGAAAAAAAATTTCAAATTATTTGATTTTAATCTCATTTAGATTCATTAACTTGAATAAATATCAGGGATCCCATCACTGTAGTTTCCCCTCATGAAAAGAAATGTCTTATTCGTGTTAATATTATTTTACTATGTGTTTTTAATTATGGCTGCGATTTATTTTTCCCACCCTCACTTACCTACTTTTTTTAAAAATACGTCAAATTATTACAATTTGTATTTAGTTGAAAATATTACTCTCAATAATTGACAACAAATATTCCTTATTCAATTAAAAAGTAGCTTAACCAGCTTTTTCCATATAAACAATCAAAATTTTTAATTTCTAATATTTTTAAAGTATTTATTGTCGAATTAGATTTGATATGATAAAAGTATTCGTTATTATTTAAAGTAAATAATTTTACTTTGTAATTTGTTAGTCTTTTAACTCTATTTGTGTGTGCTACTATATATATATATATGTATGTATAAAGAACTTTTTGTGCCTATTATTCATAATTTAATATTACCTTAAAAAAAAATTTAAAAATATGAAAAATTACCTTTTTTAAATTAAAATTTTTTTTTGAGAATTTCCTCTGTTTAAAGATAGGAAAGAATTTTGTTCAATTTTGAAGAGCAATGTCTTCAACAAGGTACGATTTATGATCTTTTGATGCATCATTGAAAGAAATCAGTTAAGTGACAGCTATGAAAAATTGACGACAATCATAAAAAAAAACTTATCATTATAGCCGGAAATCAACACGACTAGATGCTAATGCGCACGATCATTCTAGACAATCGGCATAACAGACAATCTAGTTCGATGAATGCGCTTAATATTTTCAATTCTTTGAGAGGGTTTAATATCGGTTTGAAAATTATTAAAACTTATGATAATAAAATATGAAGTTCAGTATAGTCTGGACAATGTAATAAACATAGATACCGTGTCGGTCGCAGAGTGGACTGTTTAATACTTTTACTATTTAATTTATAAAATGACGTAAGACTTTTAATTTAGTTAATAATTCTTTACTTCGTACATACATTTTGGCAAACGTATCGTGCGTCCTTTATGCTGAAAAATTCATTGCCTGACTACTTTTAAAGAAAAAAGAAACCGGGCAAACGCGCTCATCTTATTAACAATTACATTTATATAAGATAAAATGGATCGAATTGATACTTTTAAAGGCATTAGAGACTACATGGTGATTAAAAGATATATTATTATTAAATTAAGATTGGTTGTTATAAATGTGATGGTGTCACGTTACCAATATCGTGAGAATTACTTTAATAAAATACAGACAGCACATCCGCTGCCTGAGACTAATGAATTAACAAATAATATTTATTGTCAATTTAGCAATAGTTCTAATTATTATAAAAACCCAATAAACCTGACCATCGTGGTCAGTCGACTCCAGTGCCTTGTGTCAATCATCAGTCTCAGTACTCGGTTGTCGCTGTCCGGCTTACTGTTTAAAGTAAAGTCTTTCTTTATTCCTTTTCAAACCTATCTACTCTCTACCACAACATTTCAGAGTACTTGTGTCTTGCACTTCGTCTGCACCTCATACTCGGCTACCCCGTTCTCTATTTGAAGTATTTGTGTCTTGCACTTGGACTGCACCTCATACCTAGATGTTACTCTTATTCCATTCCTATAACAACAGTCTTTCGACACAGCTAACCCAGAGTGTCAGCCGAGCACGGTGACTGCTGTACAACAACACGCACGTGAATACCTAGACAGCAGGCATCACAACTTCATCTTTATCTTCGTACACATAACCATTTACATATGCTCTCCTTTCACATTTTATTGTGTAACGACATAAACAATGAGAATAATAACAAAAGACTGCATAATTATATACACACTCCGGTTTCCGTTGGCAAGTGTTTCGCCATCGCCTTTTACTGAACCAATTCGCGTTTCCCGCGGGCATTCAGTGTCTCGCGAACTGTCAGACGAGGAGAAGTAGCTATGTCGTTATCAAGTTATTTAAGTTATCAAGTTCTATTCTAATATAAATAATGTGCCTGGGTAAATAGTAATTCATATATTAGTATTGATTCAAAATTAAAATAACTAAAACTCAATTACTATTACTATTTTGTGATGCATATTCTACTAATCCATTATACTTAAGTTTTTTTCCAAATTGTAGTACTTTCTCAGTTTCAATATTTTTTTCTTTGTTAGGTGCCAATTTACACTTTACTATACCTTTGCAAATAGTTGCAAATGGAAATTGTGCCTGAAAAAAATTCAATCCAAATTAGTTATTTATTAATGAAAATTATTAAAATAAATAAATAAATATTTTTAAAAATAATTAATAATTTAAGTATTACAGTGTGTCCCATTAAATATTGGCATAATTAATAAGTTTTGATCCATAGAAAATTTCGTTATTTTTTAGCTTCGACGGGAACCTGAGAAGGTATTAATTTTACCAAGATGTGTTTTTTTTGTGTCTGTTGCCACACTTTCTCATCTCTCACTGGACCGATTTTGATGAGAAATATGTCATAAGGTCACAAAGTGTATCTAATTGAAGTCATTACCCTTAAAAATTGAAAAAATTATGTAGTTCCTTGTAAATGGGGAAATTTCCAAAAATATAATTTTTCAAATCGGTAAATTTTTAATGTTAAAAAAGTTAATATTTTGTAAATAAGTTGTCATTCTATATCCCCCCTGTGGTCTGGTAAAGGGTCAAATGTTCATAAAAGCATACTAAATAATAGGTAAAGACATCAAGCATCTATAAAAAAAAAAATTATATTGATTTGTTCATTTTTAAGAAACTTATAGTAGTTTTAAAAAAAAATTTGAAAAATTTTTGTAGATTAGCGATTATAAAATTAGTAATTTTTTTGGAGGTTTGTACCTTTTAAGGGGAACGAAGGAAATTTTTTCAATTTTTTAGGGTAATGTCTTTGACTAGATACGATTTGTGATCTTTTGACTTATCGTTGAAAGAAATCAGATCGGTGAGAGATGAGAAAAAATGGTAACACACACACACACACACAAATCACATCATAGGAAAACCTTCTCAACATAGTATCGAAGCTAAAAATTATTTTAATTTATTCATTTTTCAAAAAGTTATGACAATTTTAAGTATTAAAATATTTTATATTAAACAGTGATTTTTAAATTTTTTATTTAATTTCGGCGGCAATTTACTCATAGAAGATAAGGTGTTGGGACAAATTTTTTTATTTTGAACTTATATTATTTATTGTAAGCTATAATTTGACATATGTTTAAAGGACGCAGTATTTCCGGAACATTTTCAAAAGTTAATTTGAAAAAGTTCTATTTTTTATACAATGTTTCAAGTTTTGATCGCCCCCTATATAAGAGGAAAGTGTCCAATTTTAATAAAAAGTATGTTAAATAAAAGATGTATTTATAATATATTTAGAATAAAAATTGTGCTGATACATACATTTTTCGAAAAGTTATAGCATTTAAAGTTGAAAATTTAAAATCGAAAATGTTAACTGAAAAATATCATTTTTTTAACCTCTGCAGCAGTTTGCATGTAGAAGATAATGTGTCGGGACAAATTTTTTTTTTCATTTTATAGTAGAATACATAAGCTTTAAAAAATAAAAAAAAACACATGGTAAAATCAATACCTTCTCAGCTTCGCATTGAAGCTTTTTTCTCAAAAAAAAATTTTTATTCATTTTTTGTCAATATCTCTCTAATATTGATATTACAACAAAATTAAAATAAAATATATTTAAAAATACACAACTAAAAAAATGTTATGATTTCTTTTATAATACTGAAATGTAAGCGTTTAAAGTAAAAAAATCATTTCATTTTTGTAAAAAAACAAAAATTATTTTACTATAAATAATTTATAAAATTTATTTCAAACTTCATATTTGTTTTAATTTAAATAAGGTTTTATCAACCATTATTTAAATAATAATGATTTTTTTAGAGGTTCTTGGGACGTACTGTATACTAAGAGTAATGGAAAATTTATCAGTGTGACAGAAATGTTGGCCAAATTCGATTCTGTTATACTGGAACATGTAAATCGAATTAGAAATAAAGAAACCCATGTTCATTATTTAGGGTATGAAATACAAGATGAACTCATAAAAATAATCATTTGAGTTCATATATTTATAAGCAAAAGTTATTAATAAATATTGTTAACAAAAATATAATTGAAAACAATTTATTTTAAAATAAGAAAAAGTTATAACTATTTTTTAGTATTATAATAATTTTACTAAAAAAAATAATATTATTAAATAAAATTAATTGTGTTATGAACAAATTAAGTAACTAAAATTTTACTAGGTATCCTCGCCCACCAGGTAGCGCAATGGGAAAGCTCTCGTCATGATGTTGAGGTAAATGAGGTTCAAATCCCAACCACTGGAAAAATTTTGTTTCAGTTTTCAAATTTTTTTTTTAACGCAGTATTTGAAAATCATTTATTTAAAAATTATTTTGAGTAACAAATTAAAAACTACTTAGAAAAACATGGATATAGTGAAATAATTTTTGGTTTTTTTACAAAAATTAAGTGATTTTTTTACTTTAAACGCTTAAATTTCAGTATTATAAAAAAAATCATAATAACATTTTTTTTAGTTGTGTATTTTTAAAAATATTCGATATGTTATCAAATAAGGACCATCCTAATATGTAATGAATGACACAGTTGAAATTAGTATTAAAATTTAAAAGCCAATATTAATTTTAAACAAATAACATGCACAAATTAATTAATTAATAAAACAACATGCTAATTTGTGTTATTTACAATGAAAGTTAATATTCAACTATTTCTACTAGAATGATTTTTATAAAGCGTGTTAAACTTTAAATCAAATTCTGATAATTTAGTCTGATACAGAATGTCAATCGGATAAATTTTAATAATTTACCAGGAAATTTCGATTAATATTAATTTAATATAGAACTTTTAAAGGGTTTTGTTAAGTAAAATTATAATTTGAGATAAAATTACTTTTTTTATGTTATTAGACAAGTTTGAATTAAATTATAAATTATTTAAATTTAACGATAAAAAAATATGAACAAAATGAGTATTAACTAATTAGCTAATAAATATTGATAAAATCTGATGTTTATGATTTACTTATGCAAAATATATCATATTTTATTAAAAACATTTTAACACGTGAAACAAAAAAGTGTAATTTGAATTTATATTACCGAAAAATTACTAAAAATATTTTAAATGTTTCCATAACAATTTAACTCTTAACTTGAAAATAATATTTTGAAGCAGATTTTTAATGATTATTATGTATATAAAAAAAGTACTTAAGCTACTAAAAATAAAAGTAATAATAATAATAGTAATTATAAATACTTGTGAGTCATTGTTACTTGATGTTCCAGCTGAATTTGTAAGTGTGATAAATACACACACAGAATAAAGAAATATTCCAAAATAATAGTAGAAACCCATTTTTAATGATTATTATAATTGTAGCAGAAATGAAAGTTTAGGACTGACAATTTGATTTTAATAATATGAGAAAACACGAAAAATAATTTTTATTATTAAATTGATTGCGTTTATAAAGACCAATTTTAAATAATCTAAAATATGATAAATATCAATCTATTTTTTAAAATCCCATATTTTAATTATAAGCCATTAGTATTACACTTGTTTTAATCAAATATAATTGACACGTTTACATATGATAACGTTAGTAAAAAATATTCCAAATTATTGCATGAAATAACAATTGTTTATAAGTAAATAGACATAATAATTTAAAATTAACCATGAATGATTTATCTTTAAAATGTTCGTATTATATTAATAGGGAAGTGTGGGGCAAATTGACACTTGGTCTAGGTGGGCTTCTTGGCTTAAAAACCATTAGTAATGTTTGCAAACATTTAATAAAAATATTTTTGAAGTTAATTAATTACGATAAAATGTGAAAAACACATGTGTTTGTTTTGAAACACTTATAACTTCATTTTTGTTAAAAAGACATATCGTCGTCTTACGACGTATGGGTTTAACTTAAACGAGAATAAAAAATAAAACACTTTTATTACAATAACTGAAGAAAATCATTTCAAATAAAAAGCATTTGAAAATTTAAATTAATTTTCAATAAAGAAACCCAGCACAGGGGGGTCGTGGCACAGTGGTGACGTGGCATAGTTGGATCAAGTATAATGATATCTGACAGTGACTAAAATCACTATAAAAAAAAAACGCTTCGATACAAATCTTTAGATAGTGTTTAATTTTAAAAAATTGGTGTTTTATTCCAAAAGCTACTTGATCTGCTGGTTCCATATTAATATTCTGATTAAGATAAAGTATGTCAAATGAAAAAGGGATTATTAAAAAATATTATTTCTCATAAAAAATTATGTTGATCCATACATTTTTCAATAAGTTATAGCATTATAAAGTTAAAAATGTAAAAAATAAAATCTAGAATTTTCATACAATAATAGCATTCGGTAGCCATTTTCACAATGAAGACAAAATAAAGTCCGAAATTTTTATTTTCCATAATAAAGTATATTACATAAGCTTTAATTTAAGATACATATAAAAGTGTCAGTATTTCCGGAACGCTTTCAAAATTTAATTTGAAAAAGTTAATTTTTTGTGAAAAAGTTGTAATTTTGAATTTTAAGTTCTAATTTTACCTGCCCCACAGTGGAATGAAACGCCGATTTAGGCGGCCAAAAGTATCATTTTTTAAAAGTCACTTAATTTTATTTTTTTAGCAAAACACATATATCATCATACTTAAGGGTTTTAATACAAATTTTCAAGGGCATAAGTTGATTTAGTGAAAGTGTAGAGCTATTTTAATGTTATACTTCTAAAATTTATCCGTATTTTCAGTTATTTTGAGTTTATTTTTGTACATTTTTTTTATGCCTTAAAACATAATGTAAAATTAAAAAATTTTTTTATTCCTATTAAAAAAGATATCCTTTTTCAAATTAAAAAGAAAAAAAAGATTTTTTCGTTTTATTCTCTAGTTTGCTCGTTTAAAGATATTAAATAAAAATTACGCAAAATTACACGTTAATCCATACATGTGGCTTGTAGAGCAAATCATTAGCTACACTATGAAAAAAAAAAATTTTGCGCTCGATAATATTTGAACTGTACATATTGCATTTACCTAGAATAAACGAGTATTTTTATTTTAATATATAATAACAAATTAAAAATAGGGTTCCCATTTCAGAAAATTCTAATTAATGTCTTTTAGCATTAACAATTTATTATTTACAATGTTTTGAACCCTTGAAGGGTTCAAATCTCTACATGTTATTTTAGAGTTTTTTAAATTAAACAATATTTTCATCACCAAAAATTAAAAATTTTCAATAGTTACCGAGAAAATGAGTGTCTTATTTTAAATGAATCAACCTGTATACACTCCATTCAGCTGACATACTTTTTTTAGCTTCGATGCGAAGCTGAGAAGGTATTGATTTTACCATGCAACACGTCGATCTTAAGATATAGGTCGCTGTACTCACCGAGGGTTGAGCAGTCGAAACGGTTCCACACCTCTGTGGCATGTCTATAGTCGTCGTCATCAATATTAGACTCATTTAACTGACTATAGAAAGCGTCCTCAGGTGGTAGTAACGAAGTCGGGCGTCATTAGGTTACCGGTCAAGGTGGACAGGGAGGAGGCCATGAACCGGAAGGTATCGACGAACCGAATGGAGAAGTTATTGGTCACGTGTTTCGGGACCGAAATATACTTCTCCTCGGAATTCGGTATGACCGAAATTCTTTGGTCGTCGTACCCCAATGCAGTGACGATGAAATGCGCGTCGTAACCTGAAAGATTGTGCAAGAAGCACGGCACAAAATTGACTGTCTTCACTTTCAGGTTACATGCATTGCATAACGTCTGTCTGAATCGACCCGATAAATGACAGTGGTCTGCGACTTTGGGGTTGGAATCCTTGAATGCTGTACGGCATAAGTCGCATACCACTCTCTCCCCGTGCCTGCGCACATCATCGACAGACATTCGGATGGGAACGTTGGTTTTGCGCAACAATTTAAAAATGTTGCGCGTCACTTCAGTTACAGCCATCACAAATGCCTTGGTGACCTCTTCGCGATCCTCGGACCCACGGTATATCACCGGTGATTGTGGTATACCATAGCTTTCGAGGAGCTCGGAGGGCACATCGTTCGATTTTTTTACCATGAACCCATAGCTCATGGGATGGTGGGTGTGCACTGTCCTGGTGTATGCACCCATACGATCGTCTGTTTTCTCCAGTAAGGCGTAGATGACAAACGGTAACCGTTGCGTCTTTACCCATGTGTCTAATTCGACCTTACTGCCCTCCGCCGGCATAACGGGTAAAATAGGCTTGTTCTTGCCGCATATCAACTTGTGTTGCTCCATTGCTTGTTGACCCCGAAGAATATGTTTTTTAGGCATATCATCAAAGCTGGTGAAGCAACGTTTGCAAGTGTATAGGCGGATTTTGTGATTAGTTTTTTGACTACGCACGAGCCTCGAAAAATCGAAAATGTACGCGTAATAATACTTATCAGAGTCACCGATGTACAATAGGTCAAAATGATTCTGTTGCTCTTGGTCGGCGACTCTTAGAGGATACACCAACCACTTCATCTTAACGTCGTCTCGTTCCAAGCCGTACATGTTGACAGACACGTTAGGGTTTCGTCGCTCAAATATTTTAATTTGGGACACAGGTGTGGGGAACGTCAACCCCGTAAAATCATACCTGTGTTCCTCGTTAAAATATTTTTGATCAACGCGATATTTGTGGTCTCCCTCGACGTGTCTCGCCAAAATGGACCACTTGAAACAAGACTGATCAATATTCTGTGGGTTGATGATTGCTTTTCTTTGATTAATCTCTGGTGGGATAGGAATATATGATGAGCCGGCGAGGGGCGTATACTTGTATACGCTGAGCATAAGGCCGTCGATATGCGTTAGCGTGAATCCGCTACCCCTACCCGAGTACGCGTCTTCCTCGGCAAGCATAACCTCAAAATCTACATCGACCGCACACCCGATATCCGTATCAGATAGCAATACCCTAGCCCGTGTCTAAAAGCCACGGTCTTTGGACGGTGCTTCTGATCGCGGTATATGGTATGAGGCCTCCAATTTGAGATTATACTTGATCGGCCGGTTACCTACAATTTCAGCGAGTCTGGCCACCAGCTCAGGTTTAACGACGCGCAGAAAATCTCGATAGCTCGCGAAATTTTNGCGCGCAGAAAATCTTGATAGCTCGCGAAATTTTCCACGTTCTTCCGGTAAAACCAAACGGCTCCCCGCTCTAATGCCGAATTGATCTCGGTGAAATCACTGGTATCCGTCAATTGCATACGTAACCTTTTCGACCAAACCGCGCTGTTGTTGGCCTTACTACGCTTAGCCGCCTGACGTGACGAAGCAGATGTAAACGAGGTAGCTTTAATCAAAAATGAAATAAATTATTTATTTATTGGAAAATAAAAAAAATAAATAAATAAATAAATAAAAAAAGGTTGTAAAATTAAAGAGATATTAAAATGTAAATAATTGTACATACCTGGTACAGAAGACGTTTGCTGGTTCATGATTTTTTATTTGCGCGTGTAAAATATAAAAATAATAAATTTATAGTTTTCAAATAATCAACTGTGCGTTAACGTCAATTAAACACGTATGTGACAGGATACAGAGCGTTTAACCAGTTATATAGTAAAATAATAAAATGCGTAGGCGTGAAAAAAGACAACGTTGCCATTTTTCTCATAAAATGCTTACGACAGTGACCATTTAATATATGGTAACATCTTTGGAAAAATGATTACCTAAGCGTCGGTAAACGATGATAGCAATTGTTTTCATAAAATGCTGACGCCTATGAGAGTTATAATATAGTGCTGATGTCGAAAATATGCTTACCTAAGCGTCTGGTAGGCAATGATAATATTCATAGAAAACGTTGTTAATTTAAGTTCGATTCATCCCCACCCATTATAGGTGATGATAGCAATTGTTCTCATAATATGCTGACGCCTATGAACGTTATAATATAGTAATACATTTGATGTCTGGAATATGCTGACCTAAGCGTCTGGTAACCAATGATAAAATACTATGTAAAAAATAAATACAACAGTGATTATTACTGTACGGCGATATCTTTGATGTTTAAAATATGCTTACCTAAGTGTCTGGTAGCCAATGATAACTTTTTTAGAAATTATTTATTATATATAATGTATAGACGTGCGGCAAGTTTGTTTACGTCGGGTTTCATACGCACCCCTCCCATTAGATAAGTTTAAGTTAAGTTTTATTACCCCTTCGCTCATTATGACATGTTGAGGAAATCCCCCTCCCCCGACTTAGGTTAGTTTTCATTGGGTTTCACACATTGTGCGCACCTCACACCCAATTGTCTTAATAGAGTTTGTTACAAATCGTTCAAGGAATAGTCAAGTGTGGTGGCGGTGGTCGCTACTTGACGTACACTATTTCAATGTAATGTATACATTAAATGATAAACGCAGTGATGACTCGGGGGTGCTGGTGGTGGGGGAGCGACTTTAAATGTAATACCGCT